AATGCAGACACACAGGAGCTCTTTTAAAAGCATCTCCACTTCAAAAAGGAAAAGTAGGAAGGAGAGGGATTGTAGCCTCAACTGGGTTTAGTGGAGGTCCTGACCACAAGCTTTATTTTCACAGCTGTGTGCTCTAGCCATCATAGAACCACAGGTGTGAAGTTACTTCAGGAAGAGATCTATTCTGTCCACTGTCTCCAGGTGGTATTTCTCCTATATTATTCTTGACCAGTGAGAATCATTTATCAATGCTAAAATTTTAAGTAAATGATTCAAGCTACAGAAGAAAGAACAGTACAACTCAAAACAGCACGAACAGTCTGAGTTAGATAAGTTATTTTAAAAATATATTTTAAAAATATTAAAAAAATATTTCAAGATATCCCTTCGAGGCCTGTGTAGATTGTCTAAAGTTTTATCTGGTTATTTTAAACCATCTTACTGGTTTGTAATTAGTAGTCACTTTTCAAAGATATTAGAAGTTGTAAGTTAGGAGACCTATATTCGAGTCTTGGCTTTGCCAGCAACTTACCATAAGTCTTTGAGTAAATTACGCACATTTTCTGGGCTTTTCTCACCTCTGGTGACAATGGGAAGGATTAGACAAGAATGAACTTGAAGGTTCTGTTCTGACATTTTGTACTAGAAAGACTCAATTTCTGATCTTCAACACCTTGTAATAAATATTAATAATATTCATACACTGCATAGTACTTTATAGCTCACAGATTACTTTCAAATATATGATTTCTTTTAAATCTCTCCAGTGCCTGTGAGTTAGGCACATTTCATAGACCTGAGAACAAGCTCAGAGAAGTTGTAACTTATCCAAGATCACAGAGTTACTTACATAGCAGAGCTAGATAAGACAGGTCTTCCTACTCCCAAGTTCAATTTTCTTTCTATTGTATTCAGCTCTTTCAAGGTTATGGTAATATAGAAGCATGATTAGTTTAGTTTTTGTTAAATAATAACACGAAAATGTGGTATCATTAACAAACAAAAAACAAGAACCCCAAAGCCTCTGGATTTAAAGTCAGAGAACTAAGTTTCATGGACAGTTCTGACACTTTGATTTGGGGAAGTCACCTAACCTCTCTGAGCCCCAGTTTCCTCATCTGTAAAAAAAGGGGTTTGGGGCTTCCCTGGTGGCACAGTGGTTGAGGGTCTGCCTGCCAATGCAGGGGACGCGGGTTCATGCCCCTGTCCGGGAAGATCCCACATGCCGCGGAGCGGCTGGGCCCGTGAGCTGTGGCCGCTGGGCCTGCGCGTCCGGAGCCTGTGCTCCGCAACGGGAGAGGCCACAACAGTGAGAGGCCCGCGTACCGCAAAAAAAAAAAAAAAATAATAATAAATTAATTTTAAAAAAAAAGGAGGTTTGGATTACATAAATTTTGGGCTTACTTCTGGCTTAAAATTCTTATTTTCTTCTTAATGGCTGTGACGATTTCTAGACTAATTTTGTGATAGATTAATATTAAAGTGAAACTCTTTTCTAGACTGTAAGAGGTTTAAAAAAGTACACTGATAGACCACTTTCACTATTATTCATGCTCTTTGGCCACCTGCAAATTAAACACCTTGGACTAATATTACTGACTGAATGCCATTTTCCAACAAACTAGTTAACTTAAGATTTCACAGAGGGGTAAATTATTTTGGCTGAGTTATGTAGGAAATGTATGGAGTTGCATTTTCTGAGAGGTCTTGACAGAAGAACTTATTTGGGAACCAATGGCAGAACACCTAAGGGAGTTCACTATGAAGACATTTTGGGTCCTCTTGGCAGCGTATCGAATGACATCTCTGCCTCTCTGGTGTAGTATCTTATTGCCATGCTTACTCATTGCGCTGAAAGTTTATAACTGGTAGAAATTTCTTTTTAAGATGAAGAAAAGGGACTTCCCTGGTGGCGCAGTGGTTAAGAATCCACCTGCCAATGCAGGGGACATGGGTTTGAGCCCTGGTCCGGGAAGATCCCACATGCCGCGGAGCAACTAAGCCCGTGCGCCACAACTACTGAGCCTGCGCTCTAGACCCCGCGAGTCACAACTACTGAGCACGTGTGCTACAACTACTGAAGCCCGCGCGCCTAGAGCCTGAGCTCCACAACAAGAGAAGCCACCGCAATGAGAAGCCCGTGCACCACAACAAAAAGTAGCTCCTGCTCGCCACAACTAGAGAAAGCCTGCGCGCTGCAACTAAGACCCAATGCAGCCAAAAAGTAAAATAAGTAAATAAAAAGATGAAGAAAAATCACTTGAAAATAGCAGAGGGTATGACGGTGAGTGTTTCAAGAGTTAGAGACAAAGAAGAGTTTTGAACCTGCTGCTTCTTTGCCCGCCTCCCCTTCTGAGCAGAACATTGTAACTTTTGAAGCTAACATAGAATGGATCATAAGCAACTTGCTGAGCTGGTGACTTTATGCACAATTAAGCTTTGTTGGGACTTTCTTTATTTGTAATAGCGCTGTTACCGCGTGGGATGCTATTCAGCTCTAAACAACATTCCATTTAATAACAAGGCATTAGTTCACCCATTAAATCAGTGCCATCATGAACTGATAAGTATCACCCTTTTCCTTGGCCTCACTTGGCTCTTCTGCCCAGCAAACAAAGCACGGCAATGGCATGGCCCTTGAGATGAGAAGGATGGAGGGAGGATAGATTGAACAACGATGATCGAAATTCCATCTACTCACAGAAACGGAACTTTGCCGTGGTCTTTTCCTTTCCTTAAATAGAACCTTATATACGTTCCAAGCAGCACTTCAAGTGCCTTTAAAAACAACAGCACCAACTACTACATCTCTTACACACACACACACACACACACACGCACACAATAGGAAATGTATGGAAGGGCATGCAAAGGATGTGCACTGACAAATATGAGTAAGAATGTTCATAGCAGCATCACTTGTAATAATCAAAACTAAAAGCAGCTCAATGTACATCAGGAGTAGAATAGATAAATAACTTTTGGTATATTTGTACCACAGAAACTCGAGAAACTACCACTACAATCAATAATATGAATAACTCTCACAAACCTAATTTTGAGAGAAAGAAACCAGATTCAAAAGAGTGTACATATAATGTATGAATCCATCTACATAAAGGCAAAAGTTAGCAAAATGAATCTCTGGTATTCGAAGTCAGGATAATGGTTACTTTTTTTTTTTTTTTTTTGCGGTACGCGGGCCTCTCACCGCTGTGGCCTCTCCCGTTGCGGAGCACAGGCTCCGCGGCAATGGCTCACGGGCCCAGCCGCTCCGCGGCATGTGGGATCTCTCCAGACCGGGGAACGAACCCGCGTCCTCTACATCGGCAGGCGGACTCTCAACCACTGCGCCACCAGGGAAGCCCAGGATAATCATTACCTTTGAAGAGGAGTAAAGGGTAGAGATTTAGAAGAGTAAAGAGAGGCTTCTGAGTGCTAGTAATTATTATTTTTTACCTGAGTGATGAATACATGTGTATGTTCACTTTTCATCAAACTCTGCATTGTATTTTGTCTTTTTCTAAAGACATTTTTTACTTCAATGAAAAGTTTATTTAGAAATTATATGAGAAATGAGAAACTGTTTTAGTAAGACTGAGTCTGAGTGCTCTATGGACATCAGCTCAATTAAGTCTAGCTGGCAACCATAAACAGTCAGTTTCATTTACTTACAATTAATTTATTATTTGTAATCCACTCTTTAATTTAGAATAAATAGAGATTTACAGAAAAGTCGCAAAGATGATACAGAGAGTTCCCTTACATCACTCATCCATTTTCCTTTTATTGTTAATACTTTATGTTACAATAATACGTCTGTTACAACTAAGAAACCAGCACTGGCACATCACTACTAAATTCCATTCTTTATTCTAGTAGAACTAGATTTCCCACTAATGTCCTTTTCATGTTCCAAGATCCCATTCGAAATACCATGTTACATTTAGTGGTCCTGTCTCCTAAGGGAGAGGGCTCCGGTCTGTGACAATTTCTCAGTTTTTCTTTTTTGTTGTTGTTTTCATTAACTTGGCATTTAGTTCAGGTTTTTTATAGGATACCTGGGCTTTCTGATGTTTTCTCAAGGTTAGACAGGGTTTACAGGTTTTGAGGAAGACTATCACAGAGATGAAGTACCCTTTTCCTCTCACCATATCAAGGCACATGCTATCAACTTGGCTTATCACTAACCGTGTTAACTTCCATCTGGCTAAGGAAGTGTTTCCCAGCTTTCTCCACAATGAAGCTACTTTCCCCTCCTTTCCATATTCTTTGCAAGCAAGTCACCAAGTGCTGGCCACACTCAAGGAGAGTTGAGGGTGGAATGGGGATTAAGCTTCAATTCTGTTAAAAATTTTCCATTTTTATATACAATTTATACTGCACATCATGTATTAGCTCAGTTCATGTATATAATTTATAAATAAATATCCTTATTATTTTGCCTCTTTAGGAGCAATTAGATAGCAAGTAATGTGTAGGTCAACCTTTCTTCATTATTAAACGTTTTCCATCCTAATGGAAACCTTGCAATATGCAAGATAAATATGCAAACTAAAAAAAGGGTAATATTGTATCTATTCAAAACACATTAAAATGATTAAGGGAGACCGTGAGAGCATCTTCTTCGACAGAGGTAATGATCACGGCCTTCGGAATGTTGGGAGGGAGATGAGCCTGCAGGAAGGACTTGTATCTGGGACAGAAGAGGTTTGCAAACTTGGTGAATTATGCCTTTAGGAGCGCCTATAACTTTTGTTCCACTTTTCCTCTGAGAACCTTAACATCAGTAATCCCTGTGCATCCCCTGACCCAACAATTCTAGACTGGAGAAGTCCTAGCAGGCTGATGAGAAGAAGAGATTATTTACGCAGTACATTTGCAACCGCTGCCTTCTGGGGAGTTAACAGGCAATTTGTAGGGTACGACTCCGGCAAGGAAAGCGGTAGGAAGCTCCTCCCCTCGGCCTAGGAGGGCCGGTCCAGACGCCGCCGTGGCCCCGCCCCGTCCCTGGCCACGCCCCTCCGCGAAGCCTGCGCCTCTTCCTTCCGGGTCGTATTCGGCCGGGCGCGCCGCTGAGCGGAGCCTGGGAGTCGCCCCCGCGCCCCGGCCTCCCTGCGCCGGCTGGCCGCTGGTGGAGCCTACGGCGCGCGCCTCTACCGGACCCTGCAGGGTACGGCCCTTCCATTACTTCTCCCTCCTGCGGGTCTCCGTCTTCCTCTTTCGGCGCTGGGGCTGGGCCGGGCCCGGGCGGAGCCGCGCTTCGGGGAGCCCGGGCGTCCGGCAGAGGTCCCCTCCCCGGCCTTACCGGCCCCGCCGCCCGCCTGCGCTTGCGGGGCTTGCTGGTGACCCTGCAAACAGCTTACTTGCCTCGGGCGCTGCTTCTCTGCTCGACTGTCTGCCGGGCGTGAGGCGTCGCCCAGTGCGCGCGGCGCAGGGTTGTTTACACCGCGGGGTTGGCGGGTAGTGCTGACCCTGCAGCCCTGAGTCGGCCACCTGCCCGCCTGTGTACTTGCTGCCTCCTGCGCGTGCTTCCTTGATTTCTTTTTGGCACCCGATGGTTTTTACCTAACCAGGCCCATGTCTTAATTCAGGACTGCCACGAGATACCCGGCAGCAGCCCAGTTTCTGTGTTTTAGGGATATCCTTAGAATACAGTGTGATGATGAACATCCACTTGGCCTCCTTGTCAGCATGTTTGCAATGGGAGTGGTTTTGGATTTCCTTGATGGTTTCCCAAATGCTCGTTGCCACAGAGCCTCGCTTGCGGTCACTAATTAAAATATACAAATAACAGAAAGTCAAGATGCTATAAACCTGTGGTCAGGTAGTTGCGTTGGCAAGGATGCTGTGTCTGGCTTTATGCCCCGGAGGACTCACGGCAGGTGTGGGATCTTGCTTGCTTTTATCAGTTAGAGGACACAAGCTGCCTTTACTGCTTCTTGGTATTCTTAAGTTCAGAATATAAGTACAGTTTTTTCCACTTAAAGCTCACTTCATTGCTTCTGTTGTCCTATATTACATATTGTACCTGTTGGTTGAGTAGAGGGAGATTTTCCTGAGACATCAATGCTTCTCTAGCCCTTTATTAGATACTAAGTTCTTGGGGGAAAGGGACATGTACTTATTTTTCTAGTGACAGTATGCATCGCCCCGTAGTAGGTGCTCTACTCGTTCATTGAATTGGATCCTTCTTTCCACACTTCCTTTCTGAGTACCATATCTTTTCTTTTCTTTCTCTCTTTTTTTCTTTTTACCACTGTCCCAAATTTTGGCTTCTCTGAGTCCTGCATTTTCATACTCTTCCCTTCTGTTATGGACTTGAAAATCAGAGAGGTCATCAGCTCAATGTAAGATGGTTAATTCCTTTTTACTAGCGCCGTGATCCAGTAATGCAATTATAGTCCTCTGTACAGTGACATCGTAAAATGTTGCTGTTATCTTTTACTTCTAAATATGGCCAGTTAACAAAAACCGCCCTTTCTTTACTGGGTTAGTCTCATTGCCTCACCCTCTTAAATTTTGCTGTGATCAACATAATCGGTTTTAACTTCATAGATCTAACTCTGGTATCCTCTGAAGAAAGACCTTTTGCCACGTGAATTGTATATAAGTGTCCTCCTCTCTTTTCTTCTAGTACTTTTAATGGTCTTATTCTTCATATTGAAATCTTTAACCTACCTCAATTATATTTTAGTATAAGGACGGAATTAAGGCCCTTTATTTCCTCTCTCGTAGTTGTTAGTCGTTGTCCCCATCATCATTTGTTGAATTCTGTTTTCCCCTACTGATGGCAAGTACTGTATTTATTTGAGGCCCTAATTCTTGTATATTCTTGGGACTTTTTCTGAATTAATGTTTAGCAATCTCTGGCTTCCTGTACTGATACCATACTGGTCTTATTACTTTAGCTTTATAATGTGTTTTAGTGTCTAGTGATTCAAACAGTGCCTAAATATTTTTGGAATGGACACATTTAGTGAGGGTAAGTTGATTTCCATTTTTATCCCTTCCTCCCTACTCCACCTCCTCCTTAAAGTTTCTTGCCTCTTGTTGAAATTATTTTTTAGCTTGCCTTTCTCATGGTCAGTTGAATCATTAAATAAATCCCTTCTCTTGCTAACTCACAACTTGCCATGTTAGAGTTGCTCCTTAGAGATGTACCTAGAAAAGCAGCTTGATTCAAAATCTGCATGTCTTTTGACTTTGCATTGTGTACTAGTAAGTGGAGTGTGTCTCTCCTCATCAGCTGTGACTCAGGATGTTCTGTACCTGGTTTCAGTAGCTCTAAGGGATAAATGCCTATAGAAGTGATCCCTGGGACTGCACCATGCCCATTTGTATTTTACTATCCCAGTTGAACATCTTAAATGTAATGATTTTCAAGTGTTGCTATAATAGATACTTACAAATATTATTAGATCATAAAATAAATGTATACGTTCTTTAAAAAAAAGTCAAGTAATACAGAAATAGCCAAAGGGGAAAGTAGAAGTGTGGTGTGCCCACCTATCTGGTAACCCCATTCCCCAGAGATCATCACTGTTTAATCACTTGTTCTCTTTCCTTCCAGACATTAAAAATACATGTGTATAAGCCTATGTGTGTTTAATAACTGGCAGTATACTACGTATAATTTTCAGTAACTGCCAGTTGGTAATAATTGATGAAAATCTTTCTGTGTCAGTGCATATAACATTATCTTTTTAAAGTATTTTGATATTTCATTGTAGGAATAACCCAAAATTTATTTAACCAATCCTCTGGTGATATTTAGGCTATTCCAAATTTATTTCTGTTAGAAACAAAGCCTCAGGGATTACTTTTATGTGCACATATTTGCACATTTACTTAGTTCCTTAGTGTGAATGTTTAGACGTGGAATTGCTGGGTCAAAGGCTATATACGTTTTGAAATTATGATAGATTGTTCCATATTTCTCTTCAAAAGGTTGCCATAAGAGTAAATTTATACAATTTCTGAGAATGCTGCCCGCTGTTGCTGTATCATTGCCAGGAATTGTCAAGGCTGAGTTTTACCCTACTTGCAAGCTCATAGTTTCATGGTTGCTGGTAGAAGACATGAGATCCTGGGTCAGAGACAAAGCACAGTAATTACAGTAGCCAGAGGATCATCATTGTCTTGTGCCATTTCCTTGAACCCTAATTTCCACAGGGTGATGTGATGAGGGTCAGATGATTCTAGCACATGCAGTAGATTGCATTACAAGAGAGGAACCCTGAGCTTAGGGAACCTGACCCATTCATAATAGGCTGCAAGTAAACCTGCCTAACCTTTGCCCTAGAGAGAGACATTATCTTTATTATGCTGGATAGTAAAAAAAAAAAAAAAAAAACCTTCCCTCTACTCCAGAGGGAGACCTCTCTTTATCTGCCAACAACGTTTGCTGTATAAATACCCTTGAAAGGATAGTTTGGAACAGATTATCAGTGACTCTGCTTATAGGATATGCAGAAATGTGAGAGACGTGAAGAATTTTCCTGAAAAAAAAATCACTGCTAAAATGATACCATTTTTTACATTTTAGTAATTTTATGGATGAAAAGTAGTATTTTTACTGTTTCAATTTTGCATTTGTCTGCTTATTGATGAAGTCGAATATCTGTAAATGTTTTGTTACTTACCTGTTCATATTCTTTGCTTAGTTTTCTGTTGAAGTGTTCCTCTTTTTCTTACTGATTTGTAATAGCTCTTTACATGCCATGCTATCAATGACCTGGTACACCATTTCTAGTATTTTTTCATAGTTTATTCTTTAAATGCTGTTTCTGGGATCTTTTGCCATGTAGAAATCTTTAATATGTATGTTGTCAGTTCTGTGTTCTCTTCCTTTATGGCCTCCTGAGTTTCCGTTCCAAGGTTTTTAAAATACTCTTTGTACATATTCTTTTATTGGATATTTTGTATTATATATTTAGATTTTTAAAACATGGTTGCTTTGGTGCTTCCCTGGTGGCTCAGTGGTTGAGAGTCCACCTGCCGATGCAGGGGACACGGGTTCGTGCCCCGGTCGGGGAAGATCCCACATGCTGCGGAGCAGCTGGGCCCGTGAGCCATGGCCGCTGAGCCTGTGCATCTGGAGCCTGTGCTCCGCAAAGGGAGAGGCCACAACAGTGAGAGGCCCGCGTACCACAAAAAAAAAAGGTTGCTTTGATAATATAGTTGACCAGTGAATAACGTGGGTTTGAATTGCATTTGCTGGTATGACGTGGATTTTTTTCAATAGTAAATGCTCAGTACTACACAGTCCACTGTTGGTTGAATCTGCAGATGCAAAACTGAGGATGAGGAGGAACTGTGTATATGCAGGGCCAACTATAAGTTATACATGGATTTTCAACTGCACAGAGGTCCCATGCACCGAACCCCTGCGTTGTTCAAGGATCAACTGTATTCTAAATTTACTTTTCTAAATGTATGGACATTTTCCCAAAGCATTTTTGATAAGCTGTCCTTTCCCTGTTTTTGGTTTGACACATTCATTGTACTATATCCTTATTTACTGTTTTCTCAAAACTGACAAATCAGTAAGCAAAATATATTAGTCTCTTACTGTGACTGTGAATTTGGTTGGATTCATCCTTAAAGATGTTTGTTCTTAGTGGATTTTAATCTTATAAAATATAAATTTTTTTGTTCTGTTTAATGATTTCTGATATTGCTGTTGCCATCTCTGTCAGTTTTGTGTATACTGGATAGATCTTTATTGCCCCTATGTTTCTTTCAGTTATTCTGCATCATTTTGCTTTACTTGCCTCTCTTTAAATGTAAAACATCATCTAGCTAGACTTTCATTTTTCCTTAAAACCTTCCCCCCTCCCAACTTGAAAATTTGTCTTTATTTATTATTTATTTTGCAATGTTAGAAAACTTTTTAAAAAGATACAGATTCACAAGCACTTAAAAGAAATTATACAGGAAGATCTTGTGTATATACTTCACCCAGTTTCTTCCTGTGGTAACATTGTGCTATAGCACAATAGTACATGCAGGAAATTGACATTGACACAATCTGCACACTTTACTCAGATTTCATCAGTTTTATCACTACAGGCATTTGTGTGTGTATGTGTGTTCTCTGACATTTTATGTAGGTCTTGTCACCACCACCATAGTCAAAATACAGAATCACTCCATTACAAGGATCGGTTG